AAGGAAGGAAGGAAGGAAGGAAGGAAGGAAGGAAGGAAGGAAGGAAGGAAGGAAGGGCAAGCCCCAAAGAACACCCGTCCCACTTTGCAAGGCTGCGTTACCTGGAGTTTTCCTTTCTCGTATGCCAGTTCACTGTTGTCATTGGTCAGCTTCGCTAGGACCTGCTCCACTTGTTGCTGGGCATGCTGGGAAAGAAACAAAGGCAGGAAGTGATGCTGTCTCCCGCCAGAAGAAAAGGCTTGAAGGACGTCGGCCTTTCTCCTCTTAGGTCCGCCATTCTTCCGGGATTCCGTGTTTCCTTTGCTCTGATTCGCCCACTGCAAACCAAATCCTTCAGAGACCTTTGCTAAGCACAAACCGTCATCAACTTTATCCTTGTCTGACACGGGATTCCTCTGGAAGGCTGAGTCTTAGCATGGATCGTCATTCCTGGAGGTTGTGCCCACTTATAAGTATTGTGGCTCGAACCCACCCTTCTTGCGCTGTTAAGAATTCAGTACCAGACGGGACAAAGGCAAAAACGAGAGGAGGGAACTCTGTCTACCAAAGATATCAAAAATCACAGTTTGGACAGCCACCCTGGGAGATTAGGGTTCCCAACCTCCAGGTGGGACCTGGAAATCTCCCAGAACTACAACTCGACTCCAGACTACAGAGCTCCGTTCCCTTGTGGAAAACGGCTGCTTTGGAGGACGGACTTATGGCTGTATGGTGCCCCACCGAACTTCCTCCCTTCCCAAAACCCTGCCTTCCACAGGCTCCACCCCCAAAATCTCAAGGGATTTCCTAGCTGGAGTGGATGACCCGACTGGAGATGCAAGGAGCCATTCTATACCACAACTGCCGATCTGACACCAGACGGCAAGCGCCGCCTCCTTCGCCACGGCTCTCAGTAAGGTAAAGCGCCTCGTCGTGCCGGACCGGGAGCGGCCCCTGATGTGGCATTACATAAGAGCAGCAGTTGCAGAGCCAGTCCCTTTCCTCTTCGCTAGAGGCAGGGGTCATTCCCTGCGGGAGCGCACAGGAGCGGAGCTCCGGCAGTAAGGAGCCCAGGGGGCGGGCACATGCGACAAGCCCCGCCCCCTGCTCCCAGCAGCCCTCAGTCAGAGCAAGAAGCAGCCAGGTAAGTTGCAGACCCCCCCCCCGGCTTCTTAGTCCAAAACAGTCTAGTGGCACCTTTAAGACCAAGTTTTATTCAGGCACAAGCTCTCCCTCCTCTGCGAGGACAGATCTGCACGTTCCCCCCCCCCAATAGCTAGGAATCCAAAAGAGTCCAGTGGAGCCTGAGCGGTGGGTGTTGCCTTCTGACACACTTCTGGTGATGTCAGGGGGGGTGGCATATGCAAATGAGTCATGCTAATGAGTTATGCTAATGAGCTCCTGCACCTCTTTTTCTACTAAATGACCCCTGGCTAGAGGAGTCCACTTCCTAGCCCTGAAGACAACACAACTACTTGCAGGGATCAGAGGATCTGCACTGGGGGTGGGGGGGTGGGGGAAACAGTTCTTTAAAAACCCACCCCCCCTCCTCCACCGTGAGAAGGGCCTTTACACCAGCGGCCTGGCACCTTTCCATTCAACCCATAAGGATCAGAAATGTTAAACCTCACCCACCCACCCCGCACAAAGAACCTGTACAATATTTAGCATTCTGCTCTTTTACACCTCATAAATCTATTACGAAAAGGATGTGGACGGAATGGAGCGGGTGCAGAGGAGAGCGACGAGGATGGTCGGGGGCCTGGAGACCCCAAGCCCCGTGAGGAGAGGCTGAGGGACCTGGGAAGGTTCAGTCTGGAGAAGAGGAGGTGGGGGGGGGGCGGCATGGGGGCTCTTTTGAAGTACTTGAAGGGCTGTCCCTTAGAGGAGGAGGGCAGGGAGCTGTTCCTGTTGGCAGCAGAGGAGGGGACTCGCAAGAATGGAGGGCGGGAAGGTACCGGCTGGATATTAGGAAACACTTTTTGACAGGAAGAGTTGTGCAACGGTGGAACCAGCTGCCTCGGGAGGTGGTGAGCTCCCCCTCATTGGCAGTCTTGAAGTAGTGGCTGGACAAAGACTTGTCAGCAGGGGTCATTTCCTGCAGGAGCGTATAGGAGTGGAGCTCCGGCAGTAAGGAGCCCAGGGGGCGGGCACATGCAACAAGCCCCACCCCCTGCTCCCGGCAGCCCTCAGTCAGAGCAAGAAGCAGCCAGGTAAGTTGCAGAGCCAACAGGTCCAAAACAGTCCAGTGGCACCTTTAAGACCAAGTTTTATTCAGGTACAAGCTCTCCCTCCTCTGCGAGGACAGATCTGCACGTGTCCCCCC